CTCTTAGAAAGGTAATTTATCTGTGAGAAACATACGCTATATGATGTATTATTTTATAATTTCATGCGGGCAAAGTCGCCAGCAACAGCTAGTGTTTAATATTGGTAAAGAAATTACTTAAAAATCTCGACTAATTTACTAACGTATGTTTTACAATACGTATTTTAAGCATTCAGAATGACTTTCAGGTGATTTCACGTGTCTCACAATACATAAATAGAAATATATCGAAAATTTGATAAACCATTAAAAACCACAGGTCATTGTAATCCACAATAATCTCTGATATTACTCAACATATTTCTATTAGTAAAGGTTTTTGGTTAAAAATACTATAACTTTAAAACCTGCATGTTTTACTCTGTTTTTATATATTTTTTCTAGTATATGTATATGGTTTTCCTCCTTAAAAATAAACACACCCTATAGCTAAACCGATCTTTGAAGAAATTAAAAAGCACCTAATTGTAAGTTTTTTGTATAAAATGCGGCGTAATTTTTAAGTCCAATGCAGTTAAGTTATTGCAATGATTAATGTTCACGGCCTTGACAAAATTATCAACATCAGATAAAAACCAAAATTTCCCTTATCATTATTGAGCTTTTTATCAGTTCAGGAAATTAGCAACGAGTCGAAAACAGTTTTTATACATTTGAATACATTTTATTCATCTAACTAATATTGTAAATGCGAAGTTTTAGATAGATGTATGGATGGATGTTTGGTAGAGTTTGTAGCCTAAACGGCTGAACGGATCTCGATGAAATTTGGCATAGATGTAGAGCAGAGTATAGAAGAACACATAGGCTACTCACTTTTGTTTTCTTTTATAACACGCGGACGGAGTCGTGGGCAACAGCTAGTAAAATAATAAAGAATAGGTACGACAAAACACATTTTCATACAATGATGCATAAATTTACTAAACAAAGTGCACTTTTTGGGACAAACACGTGTTTTGTTTGCCGAAAAAAAATCGATCCATTTCATAAAAACGTATGTTAATTCAAAGTTTTTTGCTGTTAAGCGTGACCTTCTCATTTTTATATCTCACGGTCGGAATTTTGATTTTTTTAAATAATTTAAATAACACATTTCCTGCAGTAAAATAATTGTTTAATAAATTATTTAAAAAACCATTGGTATCATATTTCCTATTGCTTTTGAATAGTCTGCATTTCGTCCGTCACCTACATATTATTCACTTTTCAAAATACAAGGGGTTTTAAAAAAGAATAATTAATAATTAAAAGGGTAATGTTTAATTGTGTTATTTTTTCTATTGAAAAATTCTTAACCTCTAGGATATCCTGTTAGAAACATGTTTGTGATCGACCAGGAAACAAAAACATGGGCTATTGATTGTGTTTGATTCTATTAATTCTACGGTAACGTATTTTGTTATATTTACACCTTTAAAGCTTGATTTTATATGTTATAAAATTACATCTTCGTTGACGCCTGTGCTACGTATAAAACATTTTTTTTAAAACGGCGAGAGAAAACTGTTAGTGAATACCTATTTGCTATAAATATGTCACTATGATTTGAGTCTTGCAGATTACATTTCAATGTGACTGACCCTCGAGATTCAATATTGAAATGCACATAAATACATCACTATTTGTTCCACTTTTGATTGATATATTCGAAATTCATATTCAACGACAACGCACGTAACGGTATCAGACACTGTTATCCTTTTTGCATACATCTAATGGCAGACTAACATCATAATTTTTATACACAAGTTTTGACAATGGAAACGCACGTTTAGATCCTGATCTTTATCACAATTTAACTATGAACTTAAACACTATTATCAAACCATTAACATTATTTTATTTTTCAATAATATGAGGTGGTAAACGAGCAAACGGCCTCAATCCACTGAAATGGAAAGCGACCGCTGCCCATAAACATCCGCAATTGATGCTACCCTAATTGACGGAGGAGGAGACGCACATAAAGAGGATATCTCCCCTCCCAATGCGTCTCCTCCACCGTCAAATCCACTGCACTGAGCGACCTTACGCGATGTACGAGTAATGTAAAATGTTACACGTCGAGCAATCATGCAGTTAGTAAGCGTGTAGAATCCAGCGAGCAACGAACTGCTCGACGCAAATTTTCCACCTCGTACGCAATGTTTCACCGCGTAACAACGCTCAGTACGCAACTTAATTTTTTTAAAGTAATTATTACTTGAATCTGAGTAGCAGTCAGTCGCTTTTGGAATGAACACGGTATGTACGGTCGACAAAAATTTGCATATTGAACTTGTATTGTCGGAAAGAATTACGCAGCGGAATAACGTAACGGAAATATGGAACGAGTTTGTAAATTTGTTACTATTTTATTTCTTGCTAAGGCCAATGTCTTCGTAATACTGCAAATTTAAAATCACAAGGTCAGTGCAAAAAGAAAACAAAAAAAAAACTATTTTTTTTTAGTGATTATTAGTCCTTACAAGGAAGGAAAACTACTGCGTTATTTTAACGTATATTGCATAAATTTGTACCTATATAACCTTTTCCGGGTATATTCGTTCACCGTGTACTTTTGCATTTGTAATTTAATGGTATTAAATATGCTAGAACGTTTCATCACGGTTTATCCTTGCTAATCTATTAGTTCTAATATAATATACGCTAGTATGCTTTGCTATAGTAAAAACCATAATCCTTGCTTTAATATTAATCGGAGACCTAATTTTAGTTCCTTTTCCTTTAAGTGGAAAGGATGGGAAGGAAAATGAGGGTTTGATAGCGTAGAACACGCTTTGAAAAGGGAAATGTCCTCTTCATGTGCGTCTCCTCCGTCAATTAAAAGTAGATAACGCCTGCAATTTTTATGTCTATGGCCTATGGGTAGCGGTCGCTTCGCCATTTCGGTGGATTCAAGTGGACGCTGACTCGTTTACCATTTTATGATATAAAAAATGGGGCATAAAAATTATTTTCAATTCTATCTCGATATTTCCTGAGTTGGCAAGAATAAAAAGTCTAATCAAAAAGTTAAATATAGATAAAAAACAAGAGATTATTATCACGAAGCAAGGCGGGGACAATCGCGTCACAGATTCCTACGCGGTACGCGCTCAGCGGACGGCGCACGCGCATTGCTTGTATTCTTACGTATATGTCGCCGGCAAATCATGAATACTGCATGTTAGAAACTTTCCGAGACAAATCACATATCATGAGTTTAATCCATTCAGCTTTGCAATGTCACTTCAATTACAATTGCACTGGGTTTACTACAAGCCAGTTGTATATTCATAGCACGTCGTAAAAAGTCATCTTCGCAAAGTCTTGTAAAACTATCTTAGGTAAATAAGAAAAGGGCGGTGTTCACGATTTTCCTGTGTTACATACGTTCTCACTATTGTTACGTAGGCGTCTCTTGGAAGTTTTCCAATGGTATCGCTTTGCTCCAACACGATACGGACGACGGTGAATAATTCACGAATAACTCGCAGTTTTGGTAACACCATTCACACGTCATTCGTTCTTATCGTTCATTCATTTTGAATTAGCGCTTTTTAGCACGACGCCGGTTGAGTTCTACGAACAAGATGAGATAGGATATGATTTCAGTTTTAAACACTTAAATATAATAAATCAATGCTATGCTATTTTTGTATTGACAAATATCTCTTAAGATTACGTTCAATAACTGCAGTATTTTTGCTGATTTGCGCTGAACAAAAAAAAGTGTAATGATATACTTAAGTGGTATTAATATTAAAATGCGCTTTTTAGTCTGAAGGAAGCTAAACCTGTTATTTTTAAACAATCGACTATCCATTTATACAGATCAGTGTTCGCAATTTGTCATTGATGTTCTCTATATGTGTCAAAGTATTTATTATTAATTGTTAAAGACGAATATCATGTTTATTTTGTCGTGTTAATACAAAGAACATGCAGATATTTTCAAACAGTAATATGCATTCAATCATTCTACATATTAAATATTAACAAATAAAGAAAACTCATGTACCTGGAACGAAGCTGGAGACTCTGTTCGTTTAGTTTCATTTGAAACCTGTTTGATTTTCTGCGTATTTAGAATCGATTCAATAAATCATTTATGCAAAAAATAAATAACTGTCCGTCCCAAACATTAGAATGCAAATTAAAAAGAAATGTTTTGTTTCTTTTTAAATTTAGAAACGTCTTAAAGATTTTTTTTTATTTAAAAGAAGAATCGTTTGTTAAGTATATGTCAAAAGGGATTTAAGTGCTGCATTATCTGTACCTTTGTTTTAGCTGATAGCTTACCGCAAAATTTGAACCTTATTAACAATTGTTATCTTTGATTGAGTCCTTCTTAACTCTAAAGATACCTTATGTTTGCTTTTGCAATTAATAAGACCCCATTACATACCTTAAGATGTACGTAATTTTTTTAATACCACACTTTGACCCATTAGTTGTTTAAATAGTTAATTGTTAGGTATATTACCAAATACATAAACTATTACCGTTACATAACAATGTGACTAACCTCGACTATCACCTTTGCGGTAGTCACGGGACGCGACTCGACGCTGCCAAAATATGTCGTCTAATTCTCTGATTGCATAACATATTGTTACATGCAGTTTATTTACGTTTACAAAGTCAAGTAATAACAGTTGCTATCCACTTTCTAATGCGTTTTAGTCGTGGCAAAATGTGTCAAAATAACAGTGACAAGTCGTAGGAAAATTACGATATCCTCATGTAAATGTTTTAATATTATTACACTACGTAAAGACTTTAATTACCTTGATAATAAAAGAAATTTCACACAAGACTTGATAGCAAACATTGTACAAGAAATCATACTTTAGGTCAGAAGGGCAATATATGTTTACTCACCAGTTAATAACAATATTGCGATTAAATGCATAAATCGTAAGAAATTATCAATACGGAAAAACTGTAGAAATAACATTTAAATCAAGAATAAATTGTAAACATGCAATTAAGGAATGCTTTCTTTGTTCCAGATGTCGCTATCACGGTTGGGGACCAAATAGAATTTTATACAAACCAGACAAAAATAAGCAATGAAGGGGTTAGATTTCGTGAGCTAACCGCCCTCGCCTACGACGCTGTACACAACATATTACTGTTCGTAGACACACAGAACGACAACGCGTCTATATTCAGTTACGATATAACTAAGAAGGAATACAAACCATTGGTCAGAAGGAGATCGTATGAAAACATCCAAGGGTTGGCATTCGATCCTGTGACTAGGAAGCTGTTTTGGACGGACACTAATGAGAAGAGTATATACTGGAAGTCTTTGAAGCCAGGATCCAAGAATGATACGTACGGGAATCTGCTTATTAAAATGGATGACGAGGTACCGAGAGCAATTGCTGTGGATAGCTGCAGAGGGTAAGATTTAAATTCACTCTTTACATTGATTTACATGGTAGTAGAAAACCCACATTTATCATTTCATTGTCTCAATGCAGTCTCTGATTAAAAGAAAATTATCATTAACTTCTTTTTATTTCTAGGTATATTTATTGGACGAATATAAACATAACAAAACCAACAATAGAACGAGCTCGATTAGATGGTTCAGAAAGAACTGTAATTCTAAATTCTACAAGCATCTATAAAGTTGTCAGTATTGCGATAGATCAAAACACTAAAAATCTTTACTGGATCGATGATAAAGAGGGGATACATTACTCCATAGAGAGTTCCGACTTGGACGGTAAAAATCAAAAGAAATTACTGGCTGGCACAAACCATATGCCGAACACGATCACAGTATCCAAAGACTACATCTATTGGGCGGATTTAGGTTATAAATCTGTATGGAAATTGCCTAAAAACCCCATTCCTTATGAAGAACCGGAAGAAATTATACATTTTCAAGTTGTGCCTCCGTTTGGGATTGTTGCGAACTATAGAATATCGGAACAGATCAGTGACGTCCCAGAATGTGGTGAATTGGCATCTATAGCTGAGAATAAAACTGTTATCAATGATATTTACACGATACCGAGTGACGTTGGCCTGTTCTGTTTGCACGGTGTGAAGGTAGAGGGAATCACTACGTGCAAATGTTCTACTGGTTACATCGGGGAGAGATGCGAGATCTCGGTTTGCCATAACTTCTGTCTGCAAGGTGATTGCAGCGCTACTGCCAATGGGGAACCTATTTGCAAGTATGTACTATAATGGAAATTGATTATTTATTAAGTTAAGTTGGTATTCATTCTACTCTAATACTCGTATATTCAGACCTCGAAGGAAAAAAGGATTACCCAAATGGAAATTTTGGTATGTCGTTTCGACTTTGGGCATTTGTAATTTTTCGTTACATATTGTTGCTTAAGTGCATAGTACTACAGAGGTAATTAAAGTGAAACGACATTTATGTATATAACAGCGTTTTAAATCAGAAGCCCATGCTTTAACTACAAATTCCATTAGATGTCTGGCAGATTGTAAGCGGCACTTGCGAAGCGAAATGAAATATTCGTTTTAGTGTTCTGCCGTTTCACAATATAATTCTTAAAACGGCATTATACTGTTACCTCTAACAAACAGATACCAGTTATCTTTACCCTAAAAGGAACGTATTAGTTACCTTTGTTTGTAAACTTGTTATTCCTAATGTCTAATAGTTAAAAACTTCTATTGTAGATGTAAAACTGGATACACCGGCGCGAGGTGCGATGTGAATATCTGCGAAGGACATTGTTTAAATTTTGGAAAATGTTCCGTAGATGCAAATCAAAAGCCATCGTGTAAATGTTCCGTAGACTTTGAAGGGGATCGATGTGAAATTGTAAAAGCTCTCCCAGTTACAACTACGACAGTTCCTATTGAAAATTGCAAGTAAGTGTTAGATATTTCAACACAAATGATTTCCTTTAAAATTAGACGCAAAGATATCGAACATTTCGGTGGTGACGACTAGAAAAACTCTGAGCTTGTTGGCGACTGAGCGCCGAGACTGCAACTGAGCCCGAGCCACTCCTTGCGATGTATTTTATAAAACTACAACCCACTATTCCTTCCGTGTTCTAATATTTTCCTAGCATTATTGTTGTTTTAACTAAAGATAAATAGTATTGATAAACAGCACAGATTAACAAATAACTTTTAAGAATACAGAATATATCAAAATACTTAATAAGTAACTGAATTCTTAGAGCACACATCTTTGACTGAACTCTACAACTGTTTACTCTCGCTTTGATTCCTATGACCTTATATGAGGTGTGCTCACCACTCGATTTTTAGTTGTGCAACTAAACAGTTGAATTGGCTGCGAAACAATCGACAATCGCACAACAGTTGTGCGATTGTTTAGTCGAAGGTTTGCGCTCGCTATTATTTTATATTACTGTATTCAAGTTAATTAGTTTATTACATTGTACTAGATTCTGCTGGTCATTAATTTTTTTTAAATATTTTTTTCAGTTGCACCAAAGAAGATAATAAAAGTGTATTACTAACAACATCTGAAGGTCCGGATAAAGATGACGTGTACGTAGAGGCGTGTAACAGTTGGGACCCTATTAGAGACCCTATAATTATGGCTCTCGGCACAATGGCGGGGCTGCTGTTTGTAGCTTGTACTCTGCTTGTTATGAAAGTGTTGAGATTGAGAAGGAGGCCGAGGTATGTAGAACAAGTATAGTATTATCTGTGGTAGGAAAAAAATACATTGATTATGTCTAGATTTATATCTTATGTTACGCAAAAAGCAGTAATTAAAGCTTTTATTTAGTATTTAAATATGTGTGTTTACAATATTTGGAACGGAAGACTTAAATTTGTGTTATTACATTTTAAAGACATAGATTTATAGATTTTACATCCAATTAATAATAACAATTTATTTTTATATATTGATTAGTAATAAGCGCCAATAGCCTAATGATTTGGGGTACGGACTACCGATCTTGCGGTCGAGGGTTCAAATCCCGCCATTCGACTAATGTCGTGAACCATATCCTAGCACAAGCCTAGAGCTTAGTTAGTTAAAAGAAACATTTTAGAAGTTATATGATTTATAACACGGCTTAAACTCACGTGGGAACTTTCGGTGTAGGCACCGACCAGTTTCAAACCCGTAGGGGGTCCTTCTTCAGGGTGAGTGGATGGCGGATTTATTTTAACTGGTCGGTGCCTACACCGAAAGTTCCCACGTGAGTTATAGCCGTGTTATAAACCATATAGTATAATGTCTCACGAAAGTTTTAATAAGTTAATTTTTTAGAAGTTAGTTAAAAAAACTTAGTTTAAAGAAATATTAGTAAATTAACAAAAATCTACTTATATTTAAAAAAAATAGTATGGAAATTCATAATCAAACTTTTAAACAAATTCTCTGTAATATTAACATCGAATTGTATAATTTACAAAAACTTTCACCCTATACGTCATTATTTCCAGAGTATATAAATATTTATCTATACTTTCAGAATCAAGAGGCGCATCATTGTAAACAAGAATGTGACCCCGTTGACCGCGCGACCCGACCAATGCGAGATTACTATTGAAAACTGCTGTAATATGAACATATGCGAAACGGTAAGCAAATTCTTACATAGTTAACGTGGGTTTACACTGCAACATGTAATAAATCGCTTTGATTTAACGTACATGTTACAGTAATAAACATTCGTTTGTGTTTAATCTGGTTTATGGTTACTTAATTCTAATAGCATGTTGTCTATATTTGGATCACATGTTACGCCATTTTGACAGCGCGGAATTTAAAAAAAAAGAAGCCTATAATATGCCCGTCTATGTCAGCTTCCCTTCAGTGAAAGTCCGGTCAAAATCGGCCCAGCCGTTTTAGAGATTACCCGGAACAAACGCGGCTTGCTGACAGACAGACAGACATTTTTTTTTTTAAATATTATTTTCGTTATCAGCAACGCATCATCATCTTCCCGAAATCTGGATTTTTTCTTATGATGTTACAAACAGACACTCTAATTTTATTATATGTATAGATAGATATAGGTTTAAGAAGTTGTGAAGGTCAAATAAGATTTTAAAAACTAAAGTTAGGAAACTTTTACTAAGTAAAGTATAGATCTGTTAGAAATAAAGATGAATAATTTATTGCAATAGTAGACTATAAATTCAAAAGCATTATTTAATAACAATTGCAAGGTAAAGTGAAACATCTTAACAACGAATAATTTGAAGGACAAGGTAATAGATAATCATTAGTATTGTAAAGCGCGGGGCGCGCCGGCTGCCGGCAGACAGACGTAATTACAAAAACTATGGCCTACAACTGACAATGGACACGAAAGCGGTACACTGTGTCAAGTGTACTTTGAAGTTAAAATAATATATGCAATTCGAAAGCCACTGATATCTAAGTGGACGTATAGATTGACTTTAAATCATACTAATATTATAAATTCGAAAGTTTAGATGAGTGTTTGTTAGAGTTTGTAGCCTAAACGGTTCAACGGATTTTGATGAAATTTGGTACAGTAGTAATTTTGTAGAGTAGACTGGAAGAACTCATAGACTTTTGTTTTTTTTTTTTTAATTTCACGCAGATGGAGTCGCGGGCGAAAGCTAGTATATATTATATCTTACTAATATTATAAATGCAAAAGTTTAGATGGATGGATGGGTGGATGGGTGGATGGGTGGATGGTTGGATGTTTGTTAGAGTTTGTAGCCTAAACGACTGAACGGATCTCGATGAAATTCGGCATGGATATATTGCATTATGCATAGTCTGGAAGAACACATAGGGTACTTGATTTAGTTTTTTTTTTAATTCCGCGCGGACGGAGTCGCGGGCGAAAGCTCGTATATTAGAAATGCGAAAGTTTAGAGGGATGGATGGATGTTTGCAGCCTAAACGGCTAACCGGATTTCGATGAAATTTGGCATAGATGTAGAGGATAGTCTGTAAGAACACATAGGGAACTCGGTTTTGTTTTTTTAATTCTACGCGGACGGTGTCGCGGGCGACAGCTAGTGATATATAAAAGTTGATAGAAATGTATAAAAGACATTCCAGTTTACAAAGGATATTAAGATTGTCTTTTCTATGTATTATGTGATCACATAATTTTTCTGTTTCTATTAATTTATGTGTGGGGTTTATTCATCAAGTTTGTATCCTCCATAGAGTCTTTTCGATTCATCATCAACTTGACCTTGTTGTATTGGACTTCCGTAGGGAAGGTCACCACAGTATGTGCTGCTGCATACATCTCTATCAGCCCTCATAGAATCCAGTCCCTTTTTAAGCATATCCTCTTAAACACAACCTTTTTTTTTATAACAAAAGGTGGCAAACGAGCAAGCGGCCACCTGAATCCGCCAAAATGGCGAAGCGACCGCTGCCCATAGACATCCGCAATTGCAAATGCGTTGCCTACCCTTATCCGACAGAGAAGGAGATGCACATAAAGAGGGTATTTCCCCTACTTATGTATCTCCTCCTCTGTCAAATCCACTTTCCTTTCCCATCCTCTCCTTATAACAAAAGGGCTGTAAAGAAAAAGGGACTTAAATTAGGCCTCCGGCACCACACTCATCAGACGAAACACGGAATTGCTTCCACTTCACGCCTGTCTTCTGTGTGGTCGTGGTATTACACCGGGCATGCCGGCCCTACAGTGCTAAGATGTTAAAGCGGGCACTACCACTGTAGCCATCCTCATTTAATCTTAACACTTTACAGTTTATGTCCTCATCCTCTCGTCGTATAACGTCCATACTATGATAGAGTCGATTCGATTACTGTTAGCAATCACTGTGTTGTAAATACTTGAACTTTAACTGCAGCCGTGACAAATCGCCTTTAATTATTATACGTTTTCATTGCCTGTTTATTATTAATAAGCGGAAGGGCAATATTAACCTTATTAAAAACTAAGTTGTAGATTATTAATCTGTGTAAATGTTTAGGCTTGAGTTTTAAATACTTTTGGCAGAAATTAATGTATAAGGCTTTTAATATAAGTAAATTAGGCCTCTAATATATAGAATTTAATTAACTATAGACAATAGATTACATGTTTTAAATATAATGTTCTTTTACAGCCGTGCTTCGAGCCGCGAAACACAATAAGACCAAACCTACTTAACGGAAAGCCTGGCAAAGAAGAGAAGAGAAACTTAATAGCCAACATGGAGAATCCAGACGACCCATATTAAACTGTCATATCAAAAAAATGCAAAACCAGTTAACGTTTTGGTATTGTGTCCAAAGTTTAAACTATTGTGATATTTACTGTTAGGAGACAACTGTAGGCATAGATATGTAAATTATAGATGGATGGTTTGTTAGTTTGATTGATAGTTTGACGTCTGGTTTTTCGTAAATGGCAACACTATGGAGGTCTTTTTCGCCTTCATTTTGTGTTTTGTATTTAATCTTTAGTTTATATATCTATGTGTTTAGGATCCCCGATTGAGGCAAAAGGGCTGTGGATTAAATTTTGTGTGAATATCGGAAAGAGTTCGGGTTACGTGTTAACTTATGTAGCGTTCGCGCCAAAGCTTCCTTACAAAAAACAATAATAGACTTATAGGTTAACGGCTTTTGCTAATATTTTCCACCAAAAAATAAATTTAAGCCGATACAATAACTAAAAATAAATTTAATACATTACGATTACCATTTTAAAATTGTATTAAGGGAATTACATAATTTGGTAAGTATTTAACAATGGCCATTGACTTTTAGTTTTAAGAATAATTTGTGAAGTTTTATTACTTTGGGGTGAGGTAATCGACTATATTAGTGTAATTAAAACCACAGTAAACAATTGTAAAGCCAAGTTCGATGCGTAATTCACAAAAACTAACAAACCACAAACATGAGTAAAAAGTTATTTAATAATGAGTTAAATCACGAATTAAGTTCGTTAAAATAAAAATTACTAGGCAGTTAGTAAATATTTTTACTTCTATAAAATATAATGACATCTCTTTCATTTATTTGTAAAAATCTGAAACAGTAAAGTTTTTGTTTTTGTAGATGTTTGGACAAATATTAACTGTACTCAAAGCAATAATTGTTACCTTAAACTCACACAGTGCCTTCGCGAGCTATCTAAATACCAATTAAGTCTGTTTTATAAATATTAAATATTCCTCTTAATAATGCCTCTATTTCGAAGATTTGTGTCGTAATAATTCAGATCCCCGTGATTAATTGTTAGTTATAAAAACGTGTCTTTAGCTGGCAACACCTAATACTTTTAGTCTTTGACAGCCAAAAAGTTACTTTTCTCTTTCTTCAAATTTAATTTTATATTTAATTTCTAATGTACAATATTTTTCGTAATTTATGAATATCTTTGACATTAAATCTGTAACTGTACGGTTTATTTTGTCTCATAACTATTAACATACTTAGGAATGAACCAGATAAAGCATTTTCAAATATTTATTTGATTTGTCTGTCTACAGTTTTAATATTAAGCAACTGCCACCAGCTTTTCTTACGAGGAGCCTATTTAATTGCATATCCTTGTTTTTACGTAGATTTTAAGCTTAAATACTGCAGAGGGTTTAAAAATCTTCTAATGGTTCCTTTATTGTGTTCAAGTTCGCAAAACTGTTTTTAGTTTCTTCCGTACAGTGTTGTTTTGAAATAATTGTTATCTAATTTTAATTGAATGAACAATGGGCCCTCAATGTAATTTATCTTTTTGTACTTAAATTTAAACACTTATACGCGGCCATGTAATTACTATGTTTATAATAGTTTTGAAAAATGATTGTTTTCTTATTCGTTCTTAATAGAAATGAATGTTGACATCAATGTAATTTTGATTATAATAATGTAAAGGCCCATTTTGTTTATTTTTCCATGTTGTGTGAAAGGTTGTCTTATTTTTATATCCGGTGACCAATTTTTACTTTGTCCGTGTGGTTTTCTTTCAGCTGTTCTATAGTTTTAGTTTTTACGTTCCTATATTCGTAGCGAGATACCTCAGTAACGGCGATAGCTCTATTTGACAGCTCAGTGTTGCCACTAATTTTATTTAAAAATTACCAAATTGGTAGCATTTTTATTAACAAAATTAAATGATTCGATTTCCGAAACGCTCGTAATTTAAAATCTTGTTAAAAAACAATAAGAGTATTTCAGTAGTGTTTAACCCTGAGTTGTCAAATGCGTATGTTTTTTATTGACGCCAATGTAGAATCTCAAATGTCTACTTTTAATTGTGCTTATTCAAAATTATTTAATGAGAAGAAACTATTTATTTCATTGATAAATTATTCCAAATTTTAAACGAGTTGATGCCGTTTATTACTTACCTATGAGGGGCACTACGATGGGTTGTTTCGACCACATTGTCGTTACTTAGTGTAGTTAGATAGTTACTTAGTTTAGTTCGTGGATTGATAATATCCACATCAGAAATGTGATATTATGAGTCTTTGTATAAGCGAGATAGTTTACTTTTTATGAAAATAAAATGCTTTTTAAAAGAAAATATTGTTTTATTGAAATAAAACCCCTTTTTGTTTATATACCACATTTATTCAATATCACAATGAAAGCAAGTTTCGTAAATATACCTCCAGTTAAATAAAACTATAACGTAAAAAAGTGTCTACTTTCTAATGACATTTGGAGTACTTAACATTTATGCTAAGTCCATTAGAGCACCAGCAGACTAATTAAAATCGGCAGATAGTTTGATCATGTCGAGTTTTCAAGCCAAAACAAAATCGATGTAACGTGCATACACTTGTGTGTAATTAAGCGTCCGATTATCCACCGAAAAAAAAACTAGTCTACATGGGTTTAATACTACATTTGGTACAAGTAAATTTAGGCTTTTTCCGTCCGAAATATTTACACAAAAAATGGTTGTACAGTCAATTTATGAATGACAATTTTAGGTAATAATATCACAAGCTAAATGTAAACCGATCTTACCTCTCTATCGCTCATTCTGCGCTCTCGCTCTCAGCTTAGAAAGGTTTTCAATGCTTTTTCATACTCGTAACAGTCGTTCATAAAAAAAGAGACATATTTCATTACAATCTGTCAAAAACAGATCGTTTTTATGTGTTATATTTCGTCAGTGAAAGCCTACATTAACGCTATTATGAAAAATAATTTAAAATTATCATTTGGTAATACTAACATAACCCCGTATTTTCATCACAAAATATCTGTGCGCAAATGGCAATAGATAAAAAGAAATTTACATCGTAATTATGACATTTAAACAGTAACTTCCATACATTGTACTTATACAATTTAACAATAATCATATAGTAAATAGAAATATGTTCCTAAAATATCAAGGGCCTGTCCCACCACTGGCTGATAGAGGATCAGATAGCTTAATGACGTCACTGTTACAAGGGAACAAAATCCGATATTTCCATCACATATTTTTCACGTTCGATTGTTATCAGACAATTTACAATTTGGTGGGACTTGCCCTAAATCTGCCAATTAACTGCCGTATACATTGAAAAATCTAACATTTAATATAATTACCTCACTAAGTACTAAAATTAACAAAAGAGAATTATTACACAATTTAATAAGTTATAACAAATGTTAATTTGGACAAATATATTCTAATTACATAGCGAAAGAATTTGGTTTATATAAAGTAAATTACGAATAACTGGCCAGGCGATAATAAATCTAAGGTTTCCTTTTAAATAAAGAACTTCCACTGGAAAAACTTGTATTGAAATATGTTTTTAGGAAAATTGAAACCCAAATTAATTGTTTTCTTCCATTTGTATGAGATCAATTTTGTATTTGATCTATTTAATGCAGAGATACACATATATAGAGAAGGCATTGTTAACACTTCATGAAACATTTTTCTTACAATCGTTACTAACGCTATCTATTAACAGAATCTTAAATTTAGCAATAGGTGTTTTAAAGCATGTTTATTATTTTTTTTATTTCATAACACTAGTTTATTTTCTTGGAGCTTATTTTGTAAAATGTTTTATTATACGTCAATACAAGGACATGAGATGGCACTAAACTTAATATAGTTACATATTAGTTGTCAAATTTAGTGTATTTTTAAAAAAAATTTCCAAAAATTTGTCAACCATGCCCACTCTACATATTCGAATCTCTTCGATTTTAAATCATTCCGTTGAGTTTACTAGCTTTTGCCAACACTCAAACTTTGATTGCAGAAAACCGTTACACATTTTGAACAATTTAATTAATCCCTTAGTGTAGATTTCTGTCATTAAATCGTTTTGTGATAAATTAACGTGTGACGCTTTTTGACTAAATGAGAAAAATGTGTAAAACTGACTTATAATTACAGAGTCCCTGTTTTATTAACACATTAGTACAGTCAACTGCATAAGTGCACAAACTAGCTTTCGCCCGCGACTCCGTCTAGCATTAAAAAACAAAAGTAAGTAGCCTGTGTTCTTCGAAACTATCTTCTACATCTATGTCAAATTTCATCGAAATCCGTTCAGCAGTATAGGCTACAAACTAACAAACATCCATATAAACTTTCGCATTTATAATATTAGTAAGATTTATAAAGTTTCAGGCTCTTGTATATTGATTTATTTCAGATTTTTGAAACCGAAGTAGTATAGGTTTGTAAAGGTTTGTAAATATACATATTTGTGCAGCTGACTGTACTTAGGATAAATTACGTATTAACATACTTAAAATAAGCAATTGTATTGCAAAGAAACAAAACAAAATATACATTATGAGATGCTTGGAACTAACAATATTTAATATAATATAGTTCTGTAAACTAAAAACTAACTTTGTTAATAAAGTTTTAGTTACGTTATGTTTTTAAGTGAATGAAAATGTCATCGTTTTTAAAATTATAACAACAATTTAAAATAAGTAATAACCTTAATTTATTTGAAACTTGAAGCAGCCGAAACAATATCTTGGTTTATGATTCATTACATGGTTACATCTGTAACAAAGAAAACAACACATTATTTATATCACTAGCTTTTGCCAGTGACACCGTCCGCGTGCAAATAAAAAAAGGGAGTGATGTGATCTTCCAAACATCCCCTATCACATCATCACCAGCTCACTATACGTCCCCACCGAGGGGCTCGGAGCCTACCCTAATAAGGGGTGACTAACATCCCCTATATCTATGATAAATTGCATCAGATTCGTCCAAATGATTAGACTACAAACTCTAATAAACATCCATCCTTCCATTTAAACATTCGCATTTATAATATTTAATTAAATAAATTAAACAACATAACAAAACACATTTAAATATTACCTAACGCCATCTATCTAACTTACAATATTATAAACGAGTAAGTTTAGATGGGTGGATGAATGTTTGTTAGAGTTTGTATTCTAAACGGTCGTAAGGATGAAATTTGACATAGATGTAGAGCATAGTCTGGAAGAACACATAGGCTTCTTACTTTATTATTTTATTCCTCGCGGACGGAGTCGCAGGCGAACGCTAGTCTATTTTGTAAACATGATAAATACAATCAAATAGTTTCCAGGATATAACTAATAGATGGCGTTAGTGGTCACGTGAAGTGTCGACTATGTCGTCAATGCAATGTCGATTAAATAGTTCTCAGGATCTAATCAACAGATGGCGTTAGTGATCATGTGAAAATGAAGTGTCAACTATATTCTCACCATTGTCGAGTATAGCGGCGACCTCCAGCAGGCGGTCGCGGTGCGCGCGCATGTAGGCGTGCGCCTCCCACAGCATGGAGACGAGGCGGTCGTCCGCGCGCTCGTCCATCGCCACGTCGGCGGACATGCGCGGCGAGAAGCGGTAGTACGGCACGCCGGCGCACGCGCACCACGCCCGCGCGCGCTCCACCACGCGCCCGTCGCACTGCGTCGCCTGCCACACGCCCCAGTGAGCACACACAGCAGCCGCGATACACTTTCATATACTAATACTAACATAATAAAGCGTAACAACAGCTACCTTTATTTTATAATGTGACAAACAAGTGAATAGCCTCCTGAATCGTCAAAAAAAGCATACAAGTGTTGTTGCGATTTCCAAGCATAGAAAGAAATATCCTTAATATGAGGATGTTGTTCTTTCCTATGCGTTTTCTCCACTATCAAATTCACTTTCCCTTCCCATCCTTTCCTTATAAGAAAAGGGACTAAAATTATGTCTGGTACACACTAGGCCAGTACAGTTAGACAGTGGAGCAGACCAGGCAAGATTATCTCGTTGGCGCCAGTTAGTGTTCACATTATACCAGTCGAAATCCATTCCAGTTATTGTCCACCTGTACTAGACTAGGGCGAGGTAGGGAGACCGCCCAGGGCGCCACATGCCTTATAAATCTCGACGAGGACACCAGTTACCACAAACAGCAGCAGAGGCGAATAATTGTGACATATTGTGCTGGTTTTATTACCCCCTGCGAAGTCTACGGCACCCCCTTTTTAGCACTTTTGGGGTGGGGGTTAAGAGTTTTAAAATTATAGGTCGCAGACATTTGACGCCCTTTTCCAGCGCCCTGGGCGACGATTATTACTTGATACATTGCGAGACCTGGTCTACGAGCAGTTTGCCGATGGCGTTGAGTCCATAGGCGAGCCGCGCCGTGTCCCACAGGCTCTCCGGCTTGAACACGTCATAGTCCTTTATCTTCGTCACTGGGATTAGACCTGAAAATAAACATTGTACACTTTATTTACTTTTAAGATAAGTAATGAATACAATAACATAAATTGGAAAAAAGTTATCCGTGAGAGGGACAAAAACTACAACACAGTAACAGCAAAAAGCAAGATTACTATGATGAGTAAAACTTTCAGCCGATAACAAGGGCCTTCGTTGTGTTTTCATTGAATTTGACATTTTAGAAAATGGTATTTTTATAATGTAATGTTAATGTCGCATGGGAATATGTTTGTTTTTTTTTTTTCACACAGGCGAAAGTTAGCAAAATATAAAAATACCAGTTCCACACGAGACTACAATCTTGAGGTTGGTCTTCTCTGCCTCCTCGTGCTGCCCGGTGCCCTCGTACGCCAGCCGCAGCTCCGCCAGCTCCGTCAGCACGTCCAGGGTCGGGTTGTTGCCCATCAGACCGCCGTCTAAGTACCTGCAATTAGTAAGGAATTACTTTTATTCAATTTATATGAATATGACGATGACTGAAAACAATTTTTAATTTTTAACATATCTTATCGCGGTATTTAAATTTAATTTATATAAAGATTATAATAATGATTAAAATTATCTATTAATTGGAGATTAAATGAATAACTTTTATACAGTCGCCTTCATAAATTTTATACATTAGCTGTTCCCGCGCGGCTTCGTCCGCATAACATTTTATTTTATTGTTTACATTTGTCAAATTATCAATTACAAATGTTAAAATGACATGACATGATGACAAACTTGTTTCCTTGATGTTGGCAACAACTTATGGTCTCTTTCTCACATTAAGGTTTTATCAAAAATATTTACCCCTAGGTTTAATGGCGTTAAAATATATAGCCTAAAGCATGACACAAGTGTAGGGCTTTTTATTAAAAAAAGAATTATTCAAAAATATGCTGTAATTGCTTGTAATCTACAGGTCTTGGGTTCGAATCCCACAATGTACAAATGTAACTTTCGATTTTTGAATTTTATACGTACTATAATAATATAATATACCCAATGTTCGGTGAATGTACACAAGATATCGGCTTAGAAATTCAAATATGTGTGACGTTCCTTACTTAGGGTCCAAACACCACAATGGTTTCTTATAGTAACATAAATCTTACTAATATCATAAATGCGAAAGTTTAGATGGATGGATGTTTGTTAGCGTTTGTAGCCTAAACGGCTGAACGGATTTCCATGAAATTTGGCACAGGTTTACAGCATAGTCTGGAAGAACAAATAGGCTACTTTTTATCCCGGGAATAATTACGGTTCCCGTGGGATTCATTAATTTAGTTTTTTAATGTTCACTCGATCATTCTGCAACGGTTCAACATATCTTATTGAAATTTGGCACATATATAAAACAAAGTCTGGAGTACACATGGGATAAGCTTTATCCCAGAGAAATGTCCGGTTCCCGAGGGATACGTAGCTTTTTGTAATTTATATAATTCGTATGTTTTCTAATAGCACGCGGACGAAGTCGCGGGCAACAGCTCGTATCTTTATATGGTTAGTTGCAACATTGCGAGTTAACTTAGGGAAGGCTCCGAGCCTAGTGGGGACGTATGTAGGTGTAGGGAGGTGATGATGGTGACGGTGGCTACCTGCCCGAGGCTCTGAAGTAGGAGGGCGCAGCGCCGGTGGCCCGCGCGGCCTGCCACACGAGCTGCTCGGCGGGCGGCGGCGGCGGCGGCAGCGACACCACCGCGCTGTTCTCACTCGTGCCTCGGGGACCTGCCAGTTTACACTTTACCACTAATGTAATAAGGTACATTATCTATATATGTATAGATTCAAAAAAATCGACGAATTGAGTACATCCTTCTTTTGGGAAGTCGGTCAAAAATATGTAGAATAGGCAGTTGACACTTTATTTGACATTTGACACTTGAACCACTAACGCTATCTGTTGATAAATCCTTAACATCACATGTCGATTAATTATATTAAAATTAATTGCCAATAAATATCATTGAATTATGCTTAAATGTTTATATTTAATTGTGTAGTTTATTTAATGAAAAAGATGGTATCTTGTTATATTATTACATTTGTTATCATACTAATATTATAAATGTGAAAGTTTAGATGGATAGATGTTTTTTAGAGTTTGTAGCCTAAACGGCTGAACGGATTTCGATGAAATTTGGTATAGATATAGAGGATAGTCTGGAAGAACGCATAGGCTACTCACTTTCGTTTTTTTTTAATTCCACGTGGACGGATTCGTGGGCGAAATCTAGTATTATTATAGTTTTGTATATTATTATATTTTATGACTTCTGGTCATAGTAACAAAGTGATAGAACTTCTAATGAAAAATCTTTTTAACAAACAAATAAAAAGTGTCTAGTCTATTACTCAATTTTAACCATACTTATATCTTACAAATAGGCACTTTCGGTAAAAAGTTCTTTTAGAATAATTTCAAGCAAATGGAGAATATAACTTACTTTTAGCGCCATTAAAGTGGTCAAGTATCTCCTGCGCGGATAGATAGTTCCTGAAGATGTGCAGGTCTACCGGCTTGCGGTCCGCCAGCACCGCCAGGATCATCAGCTTCGGATGGACCAGGTCCGCCATCACCGTCTCCGTACCTGGAACACAACGCAGATCTCACTAAAGTATTGATAGAAATGTCCGACTCGAAGGACCACAATATAAACGAATTATTGACAACAAGTGTAATAAAATTACAAACAAACGTTAAAAATTAACTAAACCACTTACCCAAGCAGTCCTTTAAGATGGTCTCCAGAGGTTCTGAAGGGTATGGCCTCATACCAACAAAGGCAAACTCTTTCATCCTGAAGTATAGTTGCTGGCACTCCCTCAGGGTCTTTCCAGAAGCCAGAGCCAGAGCTAGTATACCGCCTGTACTCGTGCCGGCAACCCAGTCAAAGCAATGTATGATGGGTTTGCCGATAGCTGCCTCCAAGTTGATCAACAACTGCACCAGCACTAAACCTCTAATACCGCCACCGTCTAAACAGAGTAACCTGGAAATAAAGAATTTTATATTCACTTACATAGGAAAAAAAACTTATGAGGCATGAAATATTTGAACAAGACCTTCAGTTGCAATGCCTAGTTATGCATAAATTTGTATTCTGTGCAGAAAATTCGGAGCCTTAAATTTTTTAAGAAATCGATGTTTAAGCACTTGACTTATAGTCTAAAAAGTCTTGGATTCGAATCTCGCTATGTACCAATGTGATTTTAAATTTTGTAATTTCATATGTACATAATTTACCCGACGTTCTTACAGTGAAGGAAAACATTGTGATGCAACCTGCATTTCATAGCGAAGAAATTCAAAGATAAATGTGAAATCAACCTGCAGTGAAGCATGGTTGACTAAGGCCTAGGCAGCCTAATTTTGGGTAAACTCAGAGCCCTTCATTATAGGTGTTGAATATTATTAAAATGTTTGTAAAACCAACCTGCCCTGTTTCTTCTTGTCGTCGAGTGAGGCGCGCACGACGGCGGCGGAAGTGAGCATGTTGCTGATGACGTCACGCGTGTCCGCCGTGGGGATGGGGGGCGGCGGCACGCCGTTGTACTCCTCCCGCGGCGCGCACCCCGCGCGGCACCCCGCCACGTCACTGGGACATCTGACACACAAATCAAGGGCGGATCCAGCTCCCAGCCAAGGGGGAGGGGCCAAGTCAAGAGCTTGACAAAATATGTAAATATATTTTGTCAATCTCTTGACTAACCAGCTAAGGGGGGGTCATGACCCCCATGACCTCCCGCCCCCCTGCGTTGACACAAATTCATATTAAAATTATTTATTTACACAAACAATGTAGTACCATGAAACGTTGGTTTAATATTGAAACCAATAAAAGAACGTCGCAAATAGCGTACGGTTTATAATTCATTTTGTAAACACAAAAGTGGTTATTCTAAGAAAACCGTTAAAAATAGATATATGCCATCGCGGACTTTTTTGTAGAACTTTTTGAGATCTACAATTCTTTCATACATCATTTTTATATATCTCTAACGGTTTAGGCAGCGTAAGCCTAGAAAAGTTAAACGTTGTGATTTTTAACGGCCTGGTCCAGAAATATGTTATTTATTAATAGTTCCTTAACATTAGTAATAGTAAAATATAGCCTATGTTACTGACAGATAAATTTCCTTCCTCATGGAGAAAGATTTTTTAAAATCGGCCCAGTAGTTTTTGAGTTATTTCAATACATACAAAAATATATTTTTTCCTCTTTATAATATTAGTATAGATTACACAGCTATAAAACAGTTGGATATTAAAGAAACAACTCACCTTTGTGCACCCACCGCGTGTAATATATACAAAATCTTATCATAAACGCTATTCGACATTTCTATTGGAACAATATGTCTCGCCGTATACCCCTCATTGTTCTTGGCTTCTAAATCCGCTCCGAAAACTACCAAAGCTTGGACTATAGATACATTATTCTGTTTGACTGCTAGATGGAGTGGAGTGTTGCCTTCTTTATCACCTAAAGAGTGTTCAGCTCCCCTAGAGAGCAACGCTATGACGCATTCCAAACGACCTCGCATCACCATAACATGTAACGCGGTACGTCCGTCGAAATTCAAAGCGTTTATGTCACAATTCTTGTCGACCAACGCCTCTATAACCTCTCTAGATATCGCCCAGTGTAATGGAGTGCCGCCGTACTTCATATCTTGCTGGTAGAGTTTCGGTTGATTGTCTTGGACAATGTCGCCCACGATTCCTGAAATGCCTATTCTTATTTAGGACTATTCGTATTATCCTAATATTAACATAGAAATGACTTGAAGTAAATAGTTGAATGCACATATTTTTTTAATGTTAGTAACTATAGTGTGTCATCAGATAGATTAGTTTGACAAATCATTTGAAATTTAGTAGGGATAGGTTGTGTAAAATCAGTCATGAATCTTGTCGATTTTCGATTTTTATTCTTATAGAGGTTAGAATCGATAGATTTATAATTATAAGTTATGAATTAAAAAAACACACTGTTTTCTCTAATTAATAAGAACCATTACAAATAATGAGAGTAAATAAATGTTTATTAGTACTACAGCCGTACGTAATCGAATTGAATTTCGCTATTATTTCTGTCATCGCTAAATTCTCTACACTGTAATCAATACTAGAATCGTCCTCTAAATTAGTTAATAAGAAAATAACAATTTTAGTTGAGTTCAATAAATATTTAAACCGAATATAGATCGTTCTTAATTGTTCGCTCTGCGTGTTTGTTCGTCACTACGATACCTGTCTATTAAGTACGGCATTAGTCTTCATACAAATAGAATTCGATACTTTATATACGTCATTTATCAAACAAATCTATCTTATTTAGACAAACTATAGATGTTTGAATCATCTTCATATTCCACTTGAGTGATATCAATTTTCATACCATGACATAAGACTTTCATTGTTTTCTTAATAAGTAATAGATAATGGTTAGTAATAGTACCATTTTCAATCATTAGGAATACAGAATATTAATGAATCATCGACTAAGAAATGCATGAATACACAAAGTCAATTTGGGAAATATGCCAACATACAGTTCATATTGTTTAGATAAAACGTTATTTATAGTGTTTCTTAGATTCGCTATTTGTTAAGATAAGTCAGTTGTCATCCTCTAATATTGGGCTAATTCGAATGCTTTGGTGACAGTCTGATAGAAAATCTCTTCTTTTTCTCTCTGCATTGTTTTTCTCTATCTCTTAACCATCTTTCGGATTATATTTATTATTTAACAAAGGAGTTTTTAAATGCATCAACGAAATGACTAATGGAATTAAAAAGAAGCTAAAATTCATCAGAATAAGTTTCGTCAACTCTTTATATAATCATGATTTATTACTAATGATTTATAACTAAGGGCATACTCAAGGTTGGGTATTCACAGAGCCGTATGACGTATGTGTAAACGAGACGTAAAAAGTTTCTTGATGACGGCTATAAACTAGTCGAGAATATAAGTGAAAATGTTGATTCACGATGACAAGGATATTTTACCAACTATAAAGCTAAAATGTTTATTGACTTCACAGCACATTTTAGTAATGTATAAAAATATTGATCTCTGTTTATTGAATCTCGAATGTATTAACATATATCGCTGTCTTTATTTACTTTAAGGTGAATTAAAGGGACAACAATATGTACACGTGCGTGTATTGAGTAAAAAATCACTTTGCGATAGATTTTTCAATGAAATTCAAAATAACCTTTTAAAAAATCACTTCCACTTGAAGTAGTCATTCTGCGACGAATTCGTGGGAACCGGATTATAGTATGACGGTGTAAAATAACAGTCATGATCACTTTAAACATTTTAAAATTCACGTACAACTGAAGCGAGTATCCGTTTGTTTAACAAATATAAACAATATTTTCGTTGTACACGACTTTAACGCGAGACCGTCTAACAAAACTGGTATCGTTAAACACATTTTCATGTTTAAAATTCGTAGACAAACTATAAATTTCCGCATTTTTTTTGTATAGTATATCATATACTTATACTGTTTTTTGCGTTTTTTTTTATATCATAAGGTGGCAAACGAGCAAGCGGCCACCTGAATCCGCCAAAATGGAAAGCGACCGCTGCCCATAGACATTCGCAATAGCGTATGCGTTGCCTACCGTTAATCGACCATTATTTATGACTCTTGATAATAATCATAGCCCTAAACATCGATTAATGTTAAGTATCTAAATCATCATGACAACGGACATAAGTATATATGAATGTGCTTGTAGAAATTTGCTGAGATAAGTACCAGGGGTGCATAAGTATCTAGTTGGGTATCGAATAGCTAGATCAATAATGGTTAGGCGCAGAAAATTCCTCTCTTATGCCAGTTAAGTAGACCAGTAACCGTCTATGACAACTCTGCGCTACTGTCCAAGTGTACTGGTATGTTTGAACGTTTTGTATGCATTGAGATGACGTGAAATGTCCAAAAGGATTGAATTGTGTCTGTACTAATACTAAACGATGAGATAATAATAAAAAATAATTTGCGCTACTCACTACCTAATTTGTAAGAAAAGCGATTTATGTCTAGAATGCAATTTTTCTGCATGTAGATCACTGCGTATTATCGTGACAGTACCAGGCGTGCATAAATACCTGGTAGTGCATTTGATGGCTGGGAGCGTTTCGCAGCGGAAAGGTTAACATCAGCGCCGGCTAGCAGCAGCGCGCGCACGCAGTCCGGGGCATTAGCTAGACACGACATGTGCAGAGGCGTGTAGCCCTGCTTGTTATAGATGTTCAGAGCGGTCGCTTTCTTGTTAGCTAATACCTGGAAAGGTTAGATTTACCGGACTGAGAGAATATCTAAGTATGGTCCATCATTCTTAGAAGTTATTAGTAGTGTGTTCGTTAACTTCATGAAATTCGTTTCCAAACTACGTAACTCTATTGAAACTTAGGCCGAACTAACACTTAAGAATCACAAGGTAATGATAAAATAAATTGAAACTTCAGTAGCACATCATAAAACTTTTTGTACATTAAATAAAATAAAATAGATTAAAAAGCTCTTATTAATTCCTTAAGATGAATTCAGGTTATAACTGTAAGTTAATAACTAAACAATTAGCAGTGAAATGTACAGTACATATCTTAAATACATTAAAAAGGAACTTTATAGTATAGTACATTACTCATTAGCAATAATTATGAATGAATTTAAGGATCTAAAGAAAGTAATTTATTACTTACATTTATAATCTCCTTATTGCTAGCAGCCGCATAATGGAATACACTGTTCCCCTCTGAATCTATTGTGTCCAACGAACAGTTCAACGATAGTAGACTCTGTACCATTCTTAAATTGCCAGTTTTCACTGCTACCTATATTATATAATAAACTAAATTATAATAATATGAAGGTCATTTGCTTATTTACTACATTTTGGTATAAAAGTTTGTTACCCGTTGGGTCTATTGGCCCAAAATTGATCAAACCAATGTTTTTTTTCTTCAATGGTACCGATTTAATCTGTACAATCTACTAAATGGAATAAAATCCCTAATGGATTAATTGATTGGGTGCTAATCTGTTTCACGGGAAACACCCTACAAGAAATTGTCAAATATACTTAATATTATAAAAAGGAAAGATTTGTATTTCTGTATGTATTGGAAGAAATCAAAAATAACTGAGTTGATTTTAAAAAAAAAATCACTATTAAACTGCTTATTAGTGAGTAACATGAGTTGTGCTTTTTCAATATTTTTAATGACACGCGGGCGAAGTCGCGGGCAATAATTTTACAGAATAAAAAACTCAGTTATACATTTTACTGGTATGTTTAAAAAAAAAACAATTTATTTTATCACCCAACTTAACACTTCCCGTGTCTTATCTAAACACTCACAGATAACCATATTCCATGATTATTTGGCATTACAGGAAGCAGATAACTTTTTTACATACCATTAACGGAGTAGCTCCCTTCAGTGGATCTGGTTCATCTAAATGTTTCTGTACATCAGGGTCGTTGAACAGTTCGTACAAGCCAAAGTGAGCAACCAAATGCGCTATCGTCCATGATGGATGATCTGACAATGTATCACATAGCTTTTGCAATGTAGGTACTGAACACTGAAATATAATTCTAAATAAACACTTACAGCCTTACAAATAGATGCGGTTTAAAGTTGAACTTAATAAACTGGGTATAAGCAAAATTTGAACTAATATTTGCTTACATTTGATTTATTTCTAAGTTAACATGTATATCACGTTTATTTTTAAGGCTGTTCATCATAATGTTAGCTTTTTAACTATATTTGATATTTTCTGTATTCTTAAAAGTTATTTGTTAATCTGTGCTATTTATCAATACATTTATCATTATTTAAAACAACAATATTGTTATATATTGGAATAGTGGGGGGTAGTTTTATAAAACATATGGCAAGGAGTGGCTCGGGCTCAGTTGCAGTCTCGGTGCTCCTATATTTTAAGAAGTTATTTGTTGAAATATCTAACAATAAACTATTAGTTTTATTTGTAAAAACATATAGATATATATTAATTGATTTGAATTAATTGAGATCAATGGGAGGTGCATTTTTATAGTTCCACATTTCACAGTGGAATCCTGCAGTAATCAAATTAAAATAAAATTGTTCTCTAAAAGATAAATGAACTCTTAGTTTTCTTTTGCCAAATAATGTGTACAAAAATATCTTATGACTAGCTGTTCCTGTGTCGACGTTATCCACATGGAATTATGAAAATTTTATTTTATTGTTTACATTTCTCAAATTATCAATTATAAATGTCAAAATGACATGATATGATGACAACTTTGCTTCCTTGACATTGTCAACTTGTAGTTTATAGTCCCTTTCCCACACAAAGGACTTTTTTCCACTTTATTTATCCCCTAAGTTAAATAGCGTGAAAACATATAGCCTAAAGCGTGTCCTAAGTGTAGGGCTTTTTATTAAAGAAAGAATTATTCAAAAATATGCAATAATTGCTGACATCTTACGCCACAAAGAACTGTGGCTTTACACTTTATTACATTAAGTATAGATATGAGAGAGATGTCTTTTCATAGTTTATCAAATGTGGAAACCCACATTTAATAGTTATTAAAGTAAATGTCAATCTTACTAATATTTTAATCATGAAAGTTTTAATGGATGAATAGTATAGTTACTATGGTTCTCTAAAACAGCTAACAAATTTCACTAAAATTTGGCATAGATATAGAACATAGTCTGGAAGAACATATAGGCATTTCTAATTAAGTTTTTTTAAATTCCATGCAGAGTTGCAGGCATTTTCTAGTCTTGTATTCATATTATAAAGTGGAAAGATTTGTATTATTTGATTTACATAAAAACTATTGGATTGATTTTACAATTTCACCATTAAAAGTAATTTAACTGTGGGATATATTTCTTAATTTCACATGTACAAAGTCACAAGCAACAGCTAGTGAAATATAAATGAAACAAGAACATCAGTTTGATGTAAATGATTTTAAAGATTGGTGGGGTTAAAAAAATCTTAGAATAGGTATTAGGTATGAGAATTGCTATCAAATGATAACATACATAAACAACTATACTTTAATAAGATATGAAATAAACATATTATGTACTTTGAACTAATCTGCTGATAAGTCTTTCGAGTTTAAATTGATTTGACCTAATTATAAACAAATCATAATCATGATCAGTAATGAATCATCAAGTATTAATTCCTCATTATATAAGTAACACTAAATTATTAATACTAACACATTGACTCATTACAGATTAAAAAAGTCAATTATAACACAAACAAGAATAAATCTCTACTACTAACCTCTTTGGTAATTTTAATATAAAGCGGAATCCTTTCTTTAAAAACTATAAACTTTTCCTCTGAACTGTCTAAAGTTTCAGATCGGAATAAACTGCAAAAAAATGTAATTGGTTATGAAATTAAATATTCACTGATTTTATATCTTAAATGCATAAATTTACTGACCTATACATGTGATGCAAGCTTTCTGTAAATGGTTTATGTAGAACTATTTCATAGTGTTTATCTTTGGGGTTCTTCGTATCTTGGGGAATTTTGGGTCCATAAAGTAACATAGAATCTTCCCTATAATGTATCGGCCTAGAAATATAATTGTCTGACCGCACTTCTAATACTTTTGTCGGCACCTCCTCAGTTCCCAGAAGACCACGGAAAACTAGTCAAATAATTCAATTTCAATAAAATACATTAATCTTATAAGAAAAAATAAGACATTACAACTACTTACATGAATTAAACATTTTGAGTTTTAAGCTAGCACAATAAGTCTGACAGAAATATAAATTATTTATTTAATCAAAGAATAACATCACTGTCTTCTAGCACGAATCAAAAATTCATTTCGTTTCAATTCTCTTTAATCGCACAAATTGAACACAAATGACTAAAGTGACACTGACAGTTGACGCATTGAAATTATTTTTTTAATTAGTTGCCATTCCGAAGAAAATTTTCCAATTTAGTAGGAGATTGCAATCATGTAATTTCTATTTTTACAATTTTCAATTTTATAAAAAATCATAAAGCCACAACTCGTATATAATTTTAACCCACAGTATGATTGCAAAAAAATATTAGGATTAGAATAAGAAATAGAGTGACCCGATTTTTACTGAAAAGTGAATCGCCCTAATGGCATAACATACAAAAACATGGTTCTCTTTATCTCATGCCCAGTTTTCCTTTAATATAAGTACACATATTACTCATTTTTATTTGGTTAAGTAAGGTTGGATAAGGAGGATATAAGCAAACAAGAAAATCGTCTTAAATATTTTTATTTAAAGAAAAAACATGTACGTAAAACATGGACCTCTGGAAATTAGAAAGTATTGAAATAAAGCATTAAGTTTACATTATTGATGAAATAGAACTTTCTACTCACATCACATAAGCTAAAAAATACCCAAACACGTAGCTTATGAAATTACAAATAGGTTTCTTTGGATTTGATAATATTCTAATAAATTATATTGTAACTTACTTCACGATTAGGAAGCCTATTGAATTAAAATTTCGTACAATCGAATTATAATACAAATGCGTACAAACACTAAAATATTAAGATCTCTCAAAAATCTTTGGTTTATCTTTGTACTTATTGAAATAATTTGGTTCAAATGACTAGATTGATTAAATAGAAAAACATATTAAAACTTGTTCAAGATAATATAACAAAAAATTTAAGTATTTACTTTGGTTATACAATATACTTAATCTAATAATTAAAATAAAAAACTACTAAACAAAATCTAAAGACCCCTACAGATACTCAATTTTGACAGTATTAACTGCACAATACAATAAAAACATTACGACATGTCAGTTGGTACTAAATAAGGTCAAAAAAGATAATGGATTTATCCATAAACTGGAATGTAAAATATCACCTAATTAACATATACTTTTAAGTGCAAAAGCATTAATCAGAACATGATTCTTATTTAAACAGATTTATCTTTATGTTATTAGAGCATTATACTTTATTTAATTAAAGAGACAAAGGAATAACTAGAAAATAATTGTCAAAGATTAAACAGACATCTTTAGAACTGGGCCCAACATATACATTATATCTTGTAATAAACAATTTTAATTCCCAGGCAAACAGGGCTCAAATTATAATATCTTTTATAAATAATTTATTTCTACATTAAATATGAATTGTGTATTATATAAGTTTATCAGTTAAATATTAGGCAATAAAATTTCAGAAACAGTACACAATACACTGCACAATTTATGCTCAAAAATTAGGGTTGCCATGAAATTAACTTTTTTCCTTAATTATTTAAAAAATCTTATTTTATCTATTTAAATGTACCTGTAAAATGTATAAGTTTTCATTTTGTACCATATCTTATTGATTTTGTATGACATATAATGTGAAATGATGGTAATACAGCACCTGTGATATGGCAACCCTAGTAATATTTTCCTTTAAGCGGCATGGCTTTGATTGGTGTTGCAACCAAGCAGGTTGTCAGGATTGGCAAGAGGATCCAGCTCTGCAAACAGCTTAAACCAGGCAGCTTTATCATCTTTCTTAGGTAGTGTTGTAGGCTTGGTATCAGTTTTGGAAGCTGTAGCATTATTTATACCATTTGAATCCATAGGTGCGAGTGGCCCTTCCAAAAAGTTTGCTGTGGCCAAATCCTGAAAAAACATAGAAATATTTTTAATTCTACTGAATATTTCTATGTTCATTATTTACATATTTTCCCATTTGCTAACTGTGTTTATACTCCAATAGCTTTTACTATAGAGTTTGTCTGCTCGAATTTAAAAATATACTTAAGTAGTCTATGTGTTTTTGAAGACTATGTTGTACATTTATGCCTCATTGAGTCCTGGTAAACCATTTTAGACATACATAGTTACAAATATCCATACTTTCTACCCTTTTCATTCATGATAGTATAAGCTGTTACCTGCAACTCTGTTTTCATGGAATTAAAATAAAATTGTAGTTTACATTTACTGCATTAATGTTGAACAGTCTATGGATTCCTCTAAGTTTCAGCCATTGTGGAGATACACAGTAATAAACATCCATCTAAATGTTTGCTTTTTTAATTTTAGCAATATGATAATAGATATAATTTCGATAAAAAGCAACAACTCACCTGCAACAATTGTGATGGCATGAATGATCCGTAATTATCTGCGGTGTCACTGCAGTCTAAACGAATACCTGCTAAATCGGAGCTGATATTCTGGACATCAGCTGTTACACTTTCATTGGGTACATTTGTATTTATTAGCTCATTGGATGTGATTGGGTCATCTTTGTTCTCAACGGATGGCTGATTTTCTTTATCATTTGCATTTGCATTTTCATTCTTAGTTTCCTCAGGTACCTCATCTTTATAATCATCCTGAAAATAATATAATGTAATATGACAATTTTTTTCTCATTTAAGGACATTTTTTGTATTCACAACATATTGTTTAATTTTAAGAAGCTCTAGCTTTTTCACATTTTTAAAATTACCTGGAAAAACAACATTTGATCTTTATCCTTAGGTATTCCATCTTCTTGGTTACCATCTCCTTCTTGAAGACTCTTCAAGATACAGAATTCATATTGTGGTGCCGCACTCATAGACTCTGATGTTGCTAGTAATGTTTCTGCTACCTTGGTAGTGAAGTTTAGAAAAGAATTCTGGTATGTTGATAAAACATGTGAGAACATATTGCATCTTGCTGCAGCAAGAAGGTCAATCTAAAAAAATATAAGATCTGGTTAAAAACATAATATAATGGTTATCTCAAGAAATATCTAAATTAGTAAGAAATAACTAGCTGTTCCCATGCGGCATCCGCATCTAATTATGGAAATTTTATTTTATTGTTTACATTTGTCAAATTATCAATTACAAATGTCAAAATGACATGATAACAACCTTGCATCATTGATGTTGGCAACTATTTATGGTCTCTTTCCCACATTAGGGTTTTTATCCAAAATATTTACCCCTAAGTTGAATGGCGTGAAAATATATAGCATAAAGCGTGACGTAAGTGTAGGGCTTTGTATTAAAAAAAATCAAAAATATGCTGTAATTGCTGACATCTTAGGCAGCAAAGAATTGTGTGTGTTTATGCTTTATTATAAAAGTATAGATGGAGTGCAAATAGACTTGATAATAACAGATTTAAACACTTGAAGGTAAAAAAAAAAAAAAAGTTACAAGTACCTTTTGTAAGACATCCAATGTAAGTTTATCAAAAACTTTTTTGCTTTCACGAACTTGTCGTTGAGCTTTGCGAAAGTTATCAAGACCGCGGCCGGTATCAGGGTCAAGTTGAGCACTAGTCGATTTCATCCAACTTAAAGCAGCACGGTACTCAATACGAGCTTTTTCCATTGCAGAAACGGTAGCTCGCATGTCTTTTATGGCGCGACATCTAAATGTTTCCACTTCATGGTACAATCTTAATAACGGACTTCTTACTGACAATCGCTGTTGGCCAGAGTAGGAAATAGCTTTTCCAGCCGAAACCATATGCTTTCCAGAAGCCTCAGAGGATTTACCTGCATCCTTTAAAAATTTACCCAAAGAATTTTCTTCTTGGGCCAAAATGCACACACGTTCTTGATACTGATCTAATATTCGTTGCAAATGAAGGCAACTGTCGGATATTGATCGAAATAATTCCAATTTAGCGTCAAGTTCGGCATCAGAAGCAACAATACACTCATCTTCTTTTGTACCTAATTTTTTTAACACAGTCTTTTTTGTTACCCAGTATTGATGTTGCATCATGATTTTCAATTTGGTTTCTTCGTATAAAGCAAAGGCATTAAAAATAATCTTCCCGTAAAGAGCTGTTCAAGAATTAGTTCTCGGTTTTGGATTTTATCTAATCATTGACTGACAGATGACAGATATGACGTGACAGACGTAACTGACATCTCGACAAAATAAAGAAAAAGGTACGAAGAAAACAGATAAAAAAAACAGTAGGCAACATTCTTTGAATTGTAAACTAAATTAAGCTTTTAATACGTTGAAATAATAAGATCTGAGATATTTTATAGTAAATTACTTTTGTAGAATTCAAATGTACAAATTCGGCCAAAGAAGATCTCTATGAAGAAAATAACACTAATGAAAAATATTTTCTAGTTTTCCTGTTGTTAAGTTTATTGTAACTTTATTGACAAACTTGTTATTATTGAAAGTTTTGGTTTATGTTACTAAGTTAGTTTTAAATGTGAAAGTTTAGTCAGTCAACATTATTTAAAAAGGCAGAACTTTTGAACTTATGTTCAATTTAAACCGTATTTTTATTATCTATAACGCCATATTTACAATCGGAATGTAGAATGGCCGCCGTGTATCGTATTACGTGCGAATGTAATGCGTTATCTTATAATTTTTAAGATAATAACATGAAATACTTGTCTAGATGAGAAATAGTTAGTAGTAAAAGTTCGCGGACTCTGTTATAATGTACTGTGCTAGTGAGAAAACTATAGCAGGAGTATCATCATCTCAGTCTTCAAAGAATGTCAAAGATGGTAAGTTTACGGTTGTCAGTTTGTATTGAAACTTTGACTAAGTTTTTTTCAAATTTTCTCTTTAACAAAAGGGAATATTTCGTAATGTTTCAAACCGGATTTTAGTTAGACGATAAAAAAAACTTTGTTTTATGTAATTTATAGGGTACTTTACATCGTTGACAAGATCAAAATAAAGTTAGGTAAAACGATATCAATTCATTGTTTATTTGTTTTAAATACCATATATAATATTACTCACAAAGATTCATATTCATGTATTAAACGTGCTTTACTACAATAGACTATAAAAGTGATAAGAATAACTTGTAATATATGTTGCTTGTAGTTTCGCCGGTCGGCGTCGATGATCGAAAATGTTTAAGAATACGTGTTGGAATCATTATTATTTATACACTAATAAACAATATTACGATTTTATATAAATCAAGCGATATTCTTTTCAGTATTGAAGTTTTACTAACAAACAACTAATGTAAGGGTGGAACATTAGTTACGCGTTTTTTTTAAACCTGAAATACTCTATTAAAATAATCAAAAATAAAAATTGAAATTGTTTTTGATAACATGTTTAACAACAGTAGGTAAAACAATTCATATTTTTAGTATATTTAAATTCTGCACTATATGTAAATAGAAGTTTTTGTTAACAATTACATCCAATGTGTGAACTTTAAAAGTTGCTAAACAATTTTTATAATGGCAGTAACATTTGGCTAAATTATGTAGGAAACAAATTATATGTTTATTCACTCCCTATTAGTATAGTTACTGTATAAAATAAACATTTCTCCGGAGTAGCTTACAAAAGTGTCAAATCTTTAAAAAAACTACTGTAAACATGTTCCAACTATCAAAACACTTATACAAATACACATATTCTGAACTATTTTATTAACTTTAAAAAACTTTCATGACAATGTTATTCAGTTTTTTCTTTCTTCTAAATAAAATAAATACTTTGATCTTAATTCTTTGAAAAATGTGAACAGGAAATATTCACTTATTTTTATAAAGAACTAGTAGATAATTTAAATTTCATAGTAACTTTGTATATGTACAGTCATGGAAATTGCTGGTGTTCTAGTTTCTATTTACAGAATAATTGCCTTTTTCCATCCATTTTACAAATACACTAGGTAGCAGTGAATTTTATGGTACAAACACATTTAAAACTACATCATATTGGTAAATGTAATGCGTCGACGACTCTAAGCGTACAAAAGTTCATTCTATTATTTAATCAAGCACACCGCCAGATTCCCTAACTGTACATAAGTAATTATAGTTCTTCTTCGAAATGTGATTTGTTGACTTTATTTCGTAATAACGGTATTTGAATTATCAATATGATGTACTCAAAAAGTTACGTTTATGTTTTGTTAAACGGCGTAGCCCGATTTAATCAGACAGAGTAACTGGCATTGAAATTACGAAACGAGCCAATTTGGTAAGTACTTATTGATTAATATGCGTCGTAAAAATGTAAAGGTCATGTCTGGGAGAGTTTAAGCCATAGATTTACGTACTGCATACATATTGAATAAGTGCCTAAAGTTTGCGTGTTTATGTAACTTAAGTACTTCGTAGAAAGATGGAATGGCGAAAGCTTTTTGCTTGTGCTCGTATTGCAAATATTGTACATACTATTACTATTTTTTAGTATATAATCGGACAGGACTGTCTGGAAGAATCTGGAGGAGGCTTTCACCACTTTAGGCGGCCCACACAGAGGATCAAGAGTGATACTAACCATACTAATATTAAAATATAAACATTTAAGTGAATCAACTAAAAACACTAACATATCTTTAGATCTAGTCTATTATTTATGAATAAAAATAATGTAAAATGTAAACTGTGTGAAGGGAAAAAAAACTATCTTTATCTTTATCTTTATTACTATTTTTTTAATGATTAAGCAGCAAACCAGCGACCGAAATCTGAATTCGCTTAAAAGCCAAGCAATCACTGCCCATAGACATCTGCAATTGCAGATGCGTTGCCTACACTTATTTGAAGGAGGTGACGCACATAAAGAGGATATTTCCTCTTCCTATGCGTGTCCTCTAATAGCTGTTAACAGCGACTCGCGCGCTTCTTAAGTTATGTAATTTTCAAGACGATTTGAAAATCCCTAACAAATAATTTTGCCAGATTTTATAAAGAGATATATTAATCACATCTGTATATTCTGTTTATAAATATTGTGTCAATACAGTAAACAGGTCTCTCTAGAATGTCATGATCAGATAGCAGCAGCGCCCTTGAATCGGAATGCTAAACGCGTATTGAGTGACAGCCCAAGCCGAGGTCCCCTCTCGGGGACCCTTGTGCTAAGTCACTCCATGGAGCGACCACCGAAGCTATCTAAGAGCTCGGTGGCCTCCCAATCCGGTAATAATAACGAAGTAACGGCCCGAGCCGAGGCTCCTGAGGGAGCCCTCGAGCCTAGTTACTCATAAAAGAGGTTTAGGCTAAGCGCCATCTGCGCTGGGCCACCTCAAGGCCGGTGAATCTGTAAATGCCTCTTCAAGGCAAACAGTGACAAATCAGTCACAAAAAAATCTAGAATGTGGTAAACGTAGTTTTCGCGTAAAGGTTTGCTTTATTACGGTCTATTATGTTAAAAATACCGAGGACAAAGTACGAATGTCGATACGAATGTAAGTAAATTGCCAATGTCACAGTGTCATTGAAAGTTTCGTCTGTAAATATAAAACAGGCAGTTATTTCCATTTTGTAACTTTTTGTTTCAACCAGTATTTATTTCACACTATTGTGTGGAGCTAGTCAAATTAAGTGAGCCAGTTTTTCAAAGCCATCACAGTATTATGTTTTTAGGTCGGACAACTGTTATATTTAGTGTTTTGGTCTAGTGTTTTTGTTGTTTTTTAGAGAAAAAAATAGTGAAAAACTAAATTTGTACTAGGTAATTTGTCCTTCATTGTAACAGTATACCACGGACGTGTGACGTGCGCAGCTTTTTAAATACTTTTGTCTTGAAATTTGATGAATGTTTTCTTGACCAAAGAAAATAATTTAATACTTTACCATTTAAATTATTTTTCAATATGATTAACCGATTCGTCGTTTCCTGTTCGTCTGTTGTGTAAATTCCGGGTCTCGTATTGAATATTTCACGAACTTGACAGCAGCCGCATGCCTTACTGTAATATATGTTCTCAAGAATCTTAAATTTGAGATTGTTTGCCGGAGAAATTGGTAGGAACATCTGCCCTGTCGCAGTGCGGACTGCTCGGATACTTAAAGTTGCTCGTAGAGATGGAATTTTATTAAGCTCTTACAAGCTTACTGGATGTCCTTATCGGTTGTAATTTTATATTTTAAAAATTTGTTTAAGACAAAAATGTAAAAATGCTTGTTGTGTATTATGTAGACAAATACATGATAAATGGATTATATTCTAAATGTGTATATAATATTTTTTGTTATTTCTTAGTACGTTATTAAATTATTTTGTCTATAATATCCATATGAGAAACTGCATACGTATGGAGCAATTTTGTTGTAAAAATTCTCATTTCATATAGATGGCTCTCAGTGTAAATATTCTTTTCAAAGGCTAAATCCGTTGAAGTTTAATATCAGAGCGCTCTGCAAGCGCCCGTGGTCCGATCGTTGAGATTTTAAAGTCTCTTTTATCTCTCGACCGTCTTTGTTCTTAGGAAGATATGTTGGGTAGTTTATTAAAACAATCGCCATATATAGCCATTAGAAGACATAATAGATCGGACGTTACATATTGTTGTAGGCATTAAAGATGAAGGTTGTCTTTACATGTTAATTGTTTGAAATTATTTTTTTCTTTATGTATATTTTAGAACTCTACATGTATGAATTCAGACTTAAAGAGACTATTTACTGACAATTTTAACACTAATTTGCTCGTTTATTCTCCTATTCATAAATTATACACTTTTATTCTTTCGGTTTAAAAGTACTCCTGCGTATATTAATTTTTTCTTGCGTATATTTCTCTTTACAAATTTTATTCTTTATCGATAATGGATACATTGTACAAGATACTCGTATCACCTACATTATTGTAAAGTGAACGCCTCTATGTTGAAAAAGGCACCTGTAAAACACACTATTGAAGATTGTTCGGTGATTTAGATTTGTTAAAGGGATGAATGAGAGTAGGCTCGTGAAAAGGATGTATTCAAAAAAATGTGAATGGCAAAGTCGGAAAGGGCGATCCGTGTGATTGTGCGTATAACAGATAAAGGATGTACTTACTATAAAAGCTGGTTATCAAGTGCCCGGGTTGGGGTGGGCCAAGTGAAGCCGTCTGCTCTTTTAAATCAATATACAATGTAAGTAAAAAATGTACAATTTTTTGGAGTAATATAAAAATAGCAACAAGGATTGGATCGCAAGTAATTAAGCTATATTATCGCCTCATCGTTATGTAATTAATTATAGTCGTATAATATCGAAATTGCCTTTAAACAAAGAAAATGCCAATCAAGCTACAAACATTAAGCCGAGGTAGTGATAACCGTTGGCCATTTCTCCGTCGATCGGTATGTGCTCTATCGTCAATTAGCGAGATTAATCTACAAGGTCTTTTGATCGCATCGTATTGTTCTATTCAGAGTGGGCGTTCTATCAACATTTGGACGTGCCGACGCACCGTTTGATAGCTCTTTTATTTACGAAACATGAGTGGGCTAAGATGTATTAATGAAATAATTAGATGTTGTTTTACTAAGCAGACTTTATTCTACCTGGCGAATAACTTTTCTTTGTTTTTTTGCTATCTTGTGAAAACTGCACGATGAAAATGATGACAATTTATTATAGTCTTGTTTTTTGCTGTTTCTTGTATTACTGGCACATGTGAGTATTTGTATCTGTAATTCGTCCATTTGGTAAATTCATCTATTTCAGTAATAAAAAGAATCCCATCTTTTCCGTGACTGTGTGGTCTGAAATAGCGGATATAAAGAATCTAAGTTCATTTTAATATGAAT